CCAACTGATCCACCGTGCTGCATAATATTTTACCTGTTAGGAAATCTCCCATACAGGTGTATGTACAGTTCTAGGACCCTAGAATATTCAGATGGGTTTAAGATGCCTGCAACAACTGTACAAGAGAAAATCTGTAGCATAAATTCAAAATTCGAGTGACAAGATTGTTAGCTTTTGTGAGACACAAGGGAACTGAAAACTCCTGTAAACATTTGTAGACACATTAGAGACGGTTGTGAATGCCGTTCAACAAGCAGTTGGTTGCCAACCGTCTCACCCAAGTGAGGTACTACCTTAAGAATGGGTATTTCAAGCAAATAAGGAAATTTGAATTAGTTGGTAAAATTTTAAATTTTTTCAAATAATAAAAAAAAGAATTTTAAAAATACTAAGATTTTACATGAACTGCTAAATGTTTTGTGAGATTAGAGTTGTGTTAGGACAAAAGCAATTCACTCTGATTTGGGTCCGGCTCAGATTATCACTTAGCTTTCACTCCAATCAGACTTACTCCATTTCTCCAAACTTAGATCAGGTAAGATATCAATTAGTCATAATCTTGATACAAAACCTCATATCAAAACTAGAGATCTAACTTCAAATCAGCCAGCACCCTTACTGCATGCACTCATAATACATCTGAAGCATCAGACCTAGGAATGTCTCTTCAGTTTAATAGATTGATGCAAAGGGTGTTTTTGGAACAAGCATGAAAGAGAATTATCCCTTCTCAGGTCTGGTTTTATCCCCATCGTCCAACTTCAGTTTACCAGTAATTCACTGTGCTTAAATGCCTCATTATCCTTTTAGTACCATATCTGTCCTTCTGCTTCAAATTCCAATCCAGGAATTTTGTTTTTCCCCATCCATAAATTCAAGATAAAAAGGTGTAGACATCATTTCTGGCAGAGCATGATGTATAGATCTATAATGGAAGCAGCTGAAGAGAGTTGGTCGTGCATAGCTGTAAATGGTTCCATGTGTGTGAGACACCGGCTTTATGGCTCCCTTTGATTCCAAGTCATATTATCTGAGCATTTTTTTATGGTAAAGATAAAGGTGATTCAGTGATGGAGCTGTAACTTAACACTACAGTCAGAGGTGTGGAGCTCACCCAGGGGCTTCACAATAACAAGAAATATTTATGTAGTGAACAGGACAACACGAAAAACTGAGTATTTATGAGTACTGAGTGGCTAGTCTACATTTAATTCAATTCAGTTTTTTTATATAGCACCATATAGGACACTGCACAGAAACATTCACATACATAAAAAAGCCAATTACTAAAAGTTATGAGAGTCAGAGAGATTTGTCATTCGCATCACATGTGGTGGTACATGTGGTGGAACGAGATTATGTACTCAAGGTCCCAGTTACATCCAACAATAAAATGTAAAAGAAAAACAGTAGTAAGATCTAAGGTATGAACTAAGAAAAACATCAGCTAAATAATACACTAAGCACTAATAGCATAAAAACATTACTCCGAACAGCAGCGCGAACATTGTGTGAGCAGATGAGCACGCATGAACACAGCAACATGAAACAGATCAGCAGCAACATGAAACAGATCAGCAGCAACATGATGTGATTTTTCAGTGATTATCCTGGTTAGATATTTATGAGTCTAACAGCCTCAGGGTAGAAGCTGTTCTTCAGTTTAGTGGTTCTACACTTAATGCTCCTTAACTTCCCTCCTGAGAAAATTTACCCAGGCTGTTTAATTACTTTACCTAATGGAAGCATATATAGAGTATTGGTCCAAGAACTGAACCCTGAGGAACTCCATGACTAACTTTGGTGTATGAAGAAGATTCATTATTTACATTTGCAAACTGGCTCACTACGTGTGTCCTCTGATATCTGATGGTGTTTATCATTTAAAAAAACAAAACCATAAATTTGAAGATTCAGACACAATATTTTTAAATGGAAACAATTGTAAAAAAAACACGAGTTACAAACTTGTAGAATTTTTGTAAATGCGGTTTAATTGCTCAACATGGGACCTAATTAATTTACATTTTGTTTTATTATGCTGTTTGTAGGCCTTCTCATACCCCATAATAATGTTTTCCTGCAGAGGTGTCAATTTTTACCTCTACAAAGACTAAATAAACATTTTCTTTATCTTCAGCAATATGATTTCTCATCATCGTGCTGGTAAACATCATGTTTATCTTCCCACCTTATTCATTTCTGCTTGCTGTTTGCAGAACATCATATTTTGTTAAAGTAATGCAGTTTTTAGTGTTAATTACAGTGTTGTCTTTTAGTTACTTGGAAATAGTTGCTGGCGAAGTGTATTTATATTTTTTTCATTTTCCATGTGCATTGTAATTAAACTGTAGGGCTTGTGTACAGATGCCTGATCAGAAAATAACCCATTCATAGAAATGAACAAACTATTTGATGTTTCTTACTCTTTCACTTTTGTCATAAGAGTTTGCTTTGGAAAGAGAGCAGCAGGTTTAAGCTGTCTGTTAACCTAAATTACAGCCATTAAAGCTTTAGGACACTCCTCAGGGCCTCATGGCAAATAGACATGATAGTTTATTGTCTTGAGCTTTTTGTGGTATTGATTTTGTTCTGACGCTGATGTGCAGTAAATCTGGGCGATCACTGGACACCTGCGTGGGGGGAAAAGGAAGGGTGTTTCATCAAAAGTAAAAAGGCCAATTTGTATTTGTTCAGGCTGCTTTTTGTTTCCACTGTATTTCTTTAAAAACCCAGTACATCAAAGACACTACTGTAGTTTGTGTCTTAATTTACAGTACAGCGTTAAAGTCTTTAAGGTCTTTGCCTAAACTTAAGCATTAACTTTTGAAGACCACTCTGTTTGTACAGATTTAAACTAAATTTTCAGAAAGTAATAATTCGACATATGTCTACAACTGCTTACCATATTTTCTGGCCTGTAAGTCCCAGTTTTTTGCATAATTTGCATGTCCTGTAATTTATATGCCAAACTGACGTATTTATGGATTTTTTTTTTCCATATTTATAAACTAATTTTTGGCTGAGATATGACAGTTTTTTTTCATTGACTGAAAAAGTTGAAAACTACCATTTTCAGCCACTAGATGGCACTCGAGTAGTGAAGCATGCCGTTGTATCTTGTAATAGGTAAAAGTGGCTATTAATGACACAATCGGCTTGCCATAGCCTGCCACCGTTTTCTGCCTGGAGCAACCGTCAAATCAGCTTAATTTCACTGTGCCGCCCCGGTGCAATGCAGCTGATTTGACCATTGAAGTGCATTTATTAAGTAAAAGTTCAACTGAGACACACTTTTATTATAAAGTCGAGCTAACAAATAATTGTTTTTAGGTGGTTATCTTGTTAAATTTAGAAGAATTGGACAGCGAGTCGCCCTCTGCGCGTTCATGTTTCCGCGTATCGGCTTTTGAAAATGCAGCTGATTTGACTGTCAGGGTGCATTTATTAATGAAAAGTTAGACTGAGACACACCTTTGCTATAATTTCAAGCAAACAAATAATTGTTTTTAAGTGTTAATCTTGTAGTCCTCCCGTGCACGCTCTCGCGGCCGCCATTTGGCAGCCAACCGATTTTTGACACAACGGCCCACATATCCGGGGTTCAGACCATATTTCCGTGTTGTCAGCGGTGACGCGTAACAAACACGATTCATCAGCGGTGATGCATAATAGATGTGACTTATACGGCAAAGCGACATATTTATGGATTTTTCCACTTTATTAGACATATTTGGGCTGATGCGACTTATAGGGCAGTGAGACATGTACGGTGGAAAATACGGTAACCTCTGGAGTCAGTCCAGTAATTATGGGTGACTGAGAATCAGCAACGTATTATACCAACATTTGTGTCAAACCATTCTGATGCCAACATAACGGGATCGATACTTGAGTTTGTTTCTACTTTCAGTACGTCACTCCAATTCCAAAAATACAATGCTGCACCGGAGTAGCTAGCAAGAGGCAAGATGAAATGAAACTAATATGTCTGATAATAATTGATCAGTTCTGATTGCACAACAACTTCAAAATGAATATGCACATGCTAACATGCGTACCATCCATATTTACCTCTACTGACAGCATGCTACATGTGATGTCATGCACATGCGGGTCACTTCAGAGTGTTCACACTGGAATCAGATAACGGTTGCTTTTAAAATGTAGTGTGAACGATAACAAATTTGTATTGGAACAAAAAAATCGGAATTGAACATAAAGACCTTCAGCGTGAACGCCTTAGTCTAAAACTTTGGCATGAAAGGCGGTGGATAGTTTCATTCACAGAATGTTGGGTCTTTATTAATTCCCTTTTTGACTCATTCCTGTTAAGGGTCACAGGGAGCTGGTGCTTCTCTCCATCAATCTTCACTGACTGTTTACAAAAACACTGAAAGTCAGTTCTCCGGTCAGAGTTCCAGCCTGCGTGATTTGAACTACAAGTATGAGTTTTGATCGTCTTCATAACCCAAATGAATTCTGGCAGCAGCGACACAGAGGGCAGACGTGTCAGGGCTCTCAGCTCGGCTGTAAGAAAGTATAGTGGAACTTCAAAAGACAACTTTTTTTACAGTACAATAACTGAGCACAGAAGTAATGGCATCATGTTTGTGTTAAAAATTGTCAGACAAGTTGGAGGCGGTGAAATTTTATGCCACGTTCAGTGATTTGACACAAAGTGGTCACTCATCATCATTTTGCTGTAAAAACACATGGTCCAAATTTACAATTGTGGTTTCACTTTTACTCACTTTGGAAATTCAATATGTGGACATTTTCTCCACAGTTTTTCCCGTTCTGTGCTCACAAAACCACTCTCCAGCAGTTTCTTCTCCAAGGACGTCGAATCTTAATGTGAAACACAAACTGAGTGAATCTGCGAACAATAATTTACACACCATTTTAAATCTTTACAGCTTCTACCTTTACATTTTTACATAAATGTTGCATATTTTGTTAAAGAAACTAAAGTAGTTTTTGAACATGTTTATTCACAGAACCCCAGAAAGGACCTCAGCCCTAAAGCGAGCAGCCAGCCTTAGAGGAAGTGATGACATCACACCGCCTGTTGTGGGGAAGCGTCAGCGTAAGACGAGAGGAGAGTGATGCAGAGAGGACCATCGTTCACATGTTGTATAATTAGTTTAGACTATTTACAAACAGGCCATAAAGACTGATATAGTTTGTGTTTTTTAGCAATTGCACTGTTTATATTTCATTACAAATAAATTTTAGCACACTTCTGGTGTTTTGTCATCTAGTGATCAGTAGGAGCTGAGATCTGTAATACGTTGGTTTATATCAGCAACTCATTACCTCAACACCGTCGAGAGTATTTTAGAATTTAGATTTTTGACCTGAAAAGATGACTCAGCGTTTGCAGAGAAATAGACCTATGCAAATTTGAAATGAGGTTCTGTTTGCATCTACAGTCAGTTTATATTAAAATATAATTTCATGTTATTGAACTTCTTTTTTTTTTTCTGAATTAATTCTTTGTAGAACTGTGCCCTTTTTTTCGCTCAGTGTAAAATGTAGTCCAACCTGAAATAAACTCACAGAAGCATTGAATATTTTGCCAAAAGCACGTTTCTTTTTGTTCCCCCACTTACATCAAATAGCTAAATGTCGGCCAGTGTGCTAACCTGCGACCACCCCATCCTCAGAAATTCTCCACATTTTGTCTTAAGCTCCATTTAGGAGCTGTGTTGCGTGCAGCTCAGATGTCATCCGCCGCTGGAAAGTTTACAACAAACGTGAAGCTTTTAAATTTGTTTTCATTGAAAGAGACGTGTCTGGGGTCAGTTTTTAATTCAATAAACCCCATGCTCGTGGGAACCCCGTGTCGAGGGAAGGAAGAGCAGAAACACTTAAAAAGAGGAGGTAATGTTTACGTGTTTGCACACGAGAGAAAGCTGGCTGGAGGTCTTCTGGGAGCCGATCCTGATTGAAAACAGAGCTCGCCTGCAGTCAGACGCATGGCGCTTCTGACTCGGCTGCCTCTCAGATAAAGCAGGGGCACAAATATTACAAGGCCCTTATATAAACGATGAAGGCATAGTACACCCCACAATCACGATGCAGCAGATTCCTTTCACTATAAATTAAACTTTAAAAAAAGTAAAATTGGGTCCTCTGGATGGATTCTTCATGTTGAAGCATTTTGTCTTTTATCCAAAAAACTTTGTCAGTTTGCGCTGCAATAAACTTAACCTTTTCTTAGTGGATCAGCTAGTTTTGCTGGTGACAGCCCAAACTAGCTGTTCACATCATAAAGGAGGACCATCAGCCTAACAATTGATAGTTGGTGCCCTGATGGCCGCTTGCTATTCACAGAGGGCCTGTAAGAGGGGAACTGTTGAACACGGAGACCTCCACCCATTTAATGATGGACAGGCTGTCTTCACAAAGATGGCTTCCTTCTCTCAAACCATCGTTCCTCTATCCAGGATGTGAACAGCCTGCCATTTTTTTACATCTTCTCGTGCGAACTTTATATATTTATCCACAGAGTTGATGTGATCAGTTGGACTTCCTGAGATTTAATTTTAACCCAGGTGTCATCAACAGACTCGGTAGTGTCTGTATGCTCCATACTGGTTTGTCGTCATTATCTGCATCGTTTTTATGTCTATATTTCTGATTTACTTCATTTTGTATTTTGCTTTGTGTGTTGATGTTGTTCTGTCTGTACAGCACTTTGGTTGGCCTTGTCGCTGTTTTAAGTGCTCTGTAAATAAAATGGTATGGTATGGTATACTTTTTACACTTCAAATTTGCCCTTATATTTTAAACAAGCACTTTTAGTACCAGTGTTTTATTTTAATTTTATTTTTTTGCTGATTGATTGTTGACATCTTTTTCCAAACTGCACTAAACCAAGACCTCAGTTGTTTGACAGAGCAATCGTTTTTATATTATATTTTATTTTATTTTATTACAATTTTCTGATCAAAAGTAAAAAGAAACGCTCTACCCATGAAATGTGAAAATATTACCAGTAAATTTGTTTTTACTTCATCTAGAAACAAGTGAAAATGTCGCCCCTCTGGAATTAAACTGAGGTAAACAGTATTTTCCGTACAAATTTTAAAAATATTTTCTTTGCTCCTTTCAGAAAGTGTTTATGTTGGCTGGGTTTGAAACTTACCCTTCAAAATGACGTTTCCTGTCACAACTGGAGACAACTAATTGCACAGTCCAGATCCACATTTCACAGTTTGAAGCAGAACAGAAAATTCTGGCTTCAGCAGCTTCGAATGCACGAAGACGGAAAAAAAAAAGTCCTTCATGATGATGACCCTGATAAAACTTACAATATGGAAATGAATTCATCTGACAATCATGTTAATTTTTCTGCTGTAAACTGGTTTAGTTTGTCTTTTTCATAAATTTGATATATATATATATATATATATAGATAGATAGATAGATAGATAGATAGATAGATTACTATTCTCATTTTTTATATGTACTTAGAGCACAATATTGTGTTTGATTATTTCTTTGTTGTAACAGTGCTTCTTGCCAGTAACTCACATTCTGTTTGAAAGCCTGTTTATTTTTAAATTATGCCACATTTGTTGTGAGTTGAATATGATGTTTGTGCACCTAAAAAAAACTTCTCAAATCTTCTCTGTCAAAAACACAGCTTATTCTGTGATTTCCTTCTGTTTTGTGTTGTTTATTGGAATGGATGATTAAAATCCAAAGAAACAAAACATATTACTATTAACTATTTAACGAACTGGGGCAGCATGTAGAAGAACCATACACAGCCACAACCTGCCTGCTGCCCACCAGCTTGGTCTCACAGTTCTGTGATTTCCATTCTTTAACCAGCATTTGCATTTGTTGCAAGTCAGATAACGTTTGTGTTGGTCACACTGGTACAAACAACACAACCAAACTGGTTCAGTGGAGTTGAAGTCAGGATTGCTCTGCTGCCTAACCCACAATTTACACTTTCTTAACAAATGTGGCACATATAAAGATAAATAAACAGACTTTTCAACCGAAAATGATTTATTGACAAGAAACTTTAATACAACAAAGAAATAATTAAGTAAACCAAAATTTTCTTACATATTGTGCCATGTTTTTATTGTGTATCATCCCATTTTATATGCTTCATTTTGATAAAAAAATATATATACTTTTTCTCAATTCCATTGTCAAAACGAAAGAGATTACATAACCTTTTTGGGATGTAAACAATTTTTTGACAAAGTTTGATTTGTCAAATATTCAGACAGAGATACAAAGATAGAAAACTTGTTGAAATAGCAGTTAAATTTGTTGAGACTTGGAGACCTGTGTTGTTAATCTTTAAATTTCATGGTCATGATCTCACTGGATCTAACAACACGTCGTGACATTCTGGGAAAATAAGATCTATTAAAATGCAGACAAAAAAAAACTGTGGATGTTTTGATGAATAAAAACCATCGGATCAATTTTTGTTTATGAATCACTAAATTAGTCTTCAAATACAAAAGTCAATTATATCCAATAATAATACGGATGAAAATTGAAAGGGTCTTGTGTTGCAGCACACTGGCAACAGAGAAGAAATGTTCTTTTTTTTAGAAAAAACATGATAAATGTATCATTTTAACATGCCCTGCTCATGGATTCAGAAGGCTGATTTACAACAAAACATAATCCACCTGTAGGCGCAGATTAATTTCCAACAAATCAACTCTCATTTTCCCCAGGCATTTTAAAATTAACAACTTAAAAAAACAACAACAATCTCCTTCATTTTATTTTGTAGCATTTTGTGCTGTCAAAGCTCCACACAGTTAGAGAACCCAAAGTCTCCTTAAAATAATAAAAATCACCACGAGAGACGCCTGCAGGCCTTGTTCACTGTCCAGGCATAGCTTCCTTAACTTATCTACATCATCATAAAACACATTTGAATGTTTGTCTGGTTGCACCTTTGCCATATCTCAAACAAAGACTGAGCAGTTATGCATGCCGATCAGTGCAGACTAGGAGGTTAGAATAGCTTTGAAGTGCTTTCAGGTAAAGAGACTGACTGAAGTCTACTGCTAAAACATTTTCAAGTTGAATAGTTTTCTATACAGTTCTGTCTTTTACGTACTGTAGATCTACACAACATTGTTTTTAAGTGAGACTAACATTTCTGTTGCGTTTCAGCTGTTTATGTATGTTTTTTTTCTCTGACACCAAAACTTTTGAGTCCAGGTCTCAGAGTGGAAGTCTTTAGAAACGCCGGACATGGGCGTGTAATCGTGCATGCTCACTTCAGACGGCTTCAGTCAATAGTTTTCCCGTGCTTGTGTAACAATGGTGGGTAGCAGAGTGCTGTTTGTGCTGCTCACTCTTTCCAGTTTATCAGAGCTTCTGTCACAGTACATAAATACGCTCCACCACCTCTTGGATCAGCATACAGGTCCGTCTCAAAAATTTAGCATATTGTGATAAAGGTCATTATTTTCCATAATGTAATGATAAAAATGAAACTTTCATATATTTCAGATTCATTGCACATCAACTGAAATATTTCAGGTCTTTAATTGTTTTAATACTGATGATTATGGCATACAGCTCATGAAAACCCAAAATGCCTGTCCCAAAAAATTAGCATATCATGAAAAGGTTCTCTAAACAAGCTATTAACCTAACCATCTGAATCAACGACGTAACTCTAAACACCTGCAAAAGATTCCTGAGGCTTTTAAAAACTCCCAGCCTTGTTCATTACTCAAAACCTCAATCATGGGTAAGACTGCCGACCTGACTGCTGTCCAGAAGGCCATCATTGACACCCTCAAGCAAGAGGGTAAGACACAGAAAGAAATTGCTGAACGAATAGGCTGTTCCCAGAGTGCTGTATCAAGGCACCTCAGTGGGAAGTCTGTGGTAAGGGAAAAGTGTGGCAGAAAACGCTGCACAACGAGAAGAGGTGACCGGACCCTGAGGAGGATTGTGGAGAAGGGCCGATTCCAGACCTTGGGGGACCTGCGGAAGCAGTGGACTGAGTCTGGAGTAGAAACATCCAGAGCCACCGTGCACAGGCATGTGCAGGAAATGGGCTACAGTTGCCGCATTCCCCAGGTCAAGCCACTTTTGAACAAGAAACAGCGGCAGAAGCGCCTGACCTGGGCTGCAGAGAAGCAGCACTGGAC